GTGTCTTCTCACGGCATAAAGCCGACGGAAGAGCTACACCGATAGACGGCGGCGACCTCTAGAGTTTGAGGTGGGAGATCATGTCTTCTTGGAGGTGATGCTTAAAAAAGGAGTGGTCAGGTTTGGCAAGCGGGGAAAGCTGTTACCGAAATACATTGGGCCCTTCGAGGTACTCGAGAAGGTGGGTACAATTGCTTACCGGTTGGCATTACAACCAAATCTATCGGGTGTTCATGCAGTATTCCATGTCTCTATGCTCCGAAAGTACACCCCGGATCTAACTCATGTGGTGGATTGGGGAGAGCCTGTGGTTGATGCTTATGGGACCTTTGAGGAGGGACCGGTGCGCATCATGGATAGCCGGAAGCAGGTTTTACAAGGCAAGACCGTGCAGCTAGCGAAGGTGCGATGGTAGCACCGAGGCATAGAGGAGGCGACAGAGGAGCGTGAGAACAATATGCATACCAACTATTTGTTCCTGTTCAAGAATGGAGGTACAAGTTTTATAATTTTAATTATATTGTCATTGTTGCATATGCATGTGTTTGAATATATATGTGTATGTTAATTTCGGGGACGAAATTCTTTTAAGGGGGACAGAATGTAAAACCCGATAAATTTAAACTTTTGTAAACAAGCGCAAAAAAAAAATTTGCCGCTACAGTAGGGTTGAAAACCTGAGTTTTTCCAGATCACGGATGACGAAATGAACCTCACCATTGGATTTGTCTGGCGAAATCTAGTTACCATGTCAAATTTCATCGAATTTCGAGATAATTAATTTTTTGTATTTTATGAGGCAATCGAGTCTCAGATGACCCAAAAACAGGATTTTCAATAAAATTTAAAAATTTAAAAAATAATTGAAGGTAAATTAAAATAAAATTAAATTGAACTTGAACAGAGGTGAAATTAAATCGTTTCGGGACGAAAACGGACCCGAAAAAAAGAGACTATGTGGCACAATGTGAGCCAAATAAATGGAGGGTATAAATAAGAGAAAAAATCAGATTTTTCCCCATTCTTCAGCCAATTTAACGTGAGAAAAGAGGAGAGGTAAATAAAAGAAGTTCTCCACCTTCTTTCTACGATCTAGGAAGCTATGGAGCTCAAATCCACACGGGCCAAGAATTAAAGTTGCTGCTCTCGTCGAGGGCTACACGACGACACCAAAAAGGATGGGTTTTACTAAAGATCAAGGTACGAAAATTTTTAAAGTATAGAATTTGGGCTAGAAGTGGGTTTTAGGGACTTCCTACGGTCGTTCCTTACGCTTCAAGACGTAGGAGTTCTCCTACTTTGGTTCATTTTTCACTTATTGTGTTATATGAAATGTGTGGGTTAAAAGGGGAATATACATTTCACTCATTTATGTATATAACATGGGTGAAATAGGTATGGAAAACGAGTATGTAATGGGTTAGAATAGAATTTTCAAGCTTGAATTTGTGATGTGGAAATTGCTTGTTTGGTAATTCCATGGGAAAAGTGTTTTGTGGGCATGCTATATGCCTTATATTATGCTTTGTGAATGAGGTGAAAATTCTTATGTGATAACATCAATTGTTGCCTTGAAGGTGTTTGTCAAAATGTCTATATGTGGATTAAGTTGTTATGACATAATGATGTATAACGCTTAGAAAATGTGTTGAAAAGAAATGTTGATATGTGCTTTTTGAGATATTGACATTGTAATGATTTATGGAATTTATATGCTTATGATATGAATTTCCATGGAACATGTAGACATGTGGTTTAAAATTGCTCATTGGCATTCATTATATTGAGCATGATGTTGATAGTGTAATGGTCCACTACATTGCATTATGCACAAAGAACACATCGCATTTCATGGGTGTGAGTGCATGGTTTGGGTCAAACACCTTCTTCGGTGGATGACAAGTGGGCTTGGTACCGTTGGACCTCGGTTCAACAGAGTTCCACAGATGCATGAAAGAAAAACTTGTGTAGGGTATAGCAAGGAGGGCTAGACACGTCCTCAGGTGCAAGGCCCGACTACTGGTTCATACACTTCGTCGGTGCAACTCCAAAAAGTGTAGAAAGGAGTACGGAGCCGGCGGTGAGATTCTAAAATTCGTTACCCAACAAAGACACAAGAGTTTTTTTTATAAAATTATTCATTTAATGGGTAACATCCACAATGATTTGGTTTTACAAATGCATCACTTTTGTTGTAAACAATCATTGGATGCATTTTTTGTTAATTGACGGATTCATTACACATGCGCATTGCATTTGTAGTGGGAGTCGGTGAATGCTCGAGGTTAAATTGCATGAGTGGGTCTCATCTCATATCATGGCATGACATGTTGATTCCAACATTGATTGAATAAATATTTGTTGGAATGATTGTTGTTGGAAAATGTTGTATATGAACATTGCATATGCACTTAGGTTGGTAAGTAACCTCCCTAGGAAATATTCTACTGGGCGTTGACTCACCCTATACGAGAAAATATTTTAGGTGCGGACTACACTCCGATGGATGGCACTCATTCATGGCATCAACGATGAAGAAAAGTCGGATTGTGGCTTTTGGAGACAAGTTTTTGTAAAAACTTTTGTTTAAAACTCATTTGGCATGTAAATGTATGGAATGGGTTGTATTAGACGTTGTATATATTAGATTATATGTGAAAAACATGGTTTAGTCTGTTTTGGATGAAAAACATAGGTTTTGGAATGGGTTAAAATCGACAACAGGTGAATTGGGAAAAATTGGGCAAAGTGTACCAGTACTGCGTACCGGTACAGTCTGCCCAGAAGGAAAAGCGTACCGGTATTGTCTGTCCAGAAGGCAAACCGTACCGGTACACAGTACCGGTACTGTCTCGTAAAATCTGAATTTTTTAAATTATTTTGCCATACTTTTGGCCTTTTGTTTTCCTTGGTTCCAATGATACAAATGAAAATTAATTGAGGTATATTGAGGCTTATTGGACCTCCATTGAATTAAATGATTAAAGGAACACGGGTGATACGGGTAAGTTATGATCCCGGTTACAGGGATATGATAGACGTGATGTTGAGCCACGCGACATTCACAGGTATTTTCACGAGTTGACGGATGATCAACAGGACCCCCGGTTTTAGGGGCGTCACAAAAATGAGAGAGGTTCAACCCTACATGTAAAAAAGATGTGAAAACAATGAATAAGAAGATAGTTTTGGGCTTAGGAGTGTTTAGGCCAGGGTTTCTTCTTCTATGGTTTTGACTTCTTTTTTCTGGAAAAAACACTCCTTCAAAATGACTAAACAAGCCTATTTATAGGCCCCATGGAAGGTCCTAAGGTGGCAAATACCCATATCACCCAATCAAAGCTTTTTGTTGCACAATTGAACCAATAGGAGAAGAGGAAAGGTTGAGGCGGTTTAGTCACTGTCTGGAAGGTGCTAAGTCTTTGGTTTTTGTGGCTATAGCCTCCTTTGCTGACTTGTTGACTCTACTGGCGTTGGGATGGTGTATGAATTTTGCTGATTTTATTATTTCCTTCGTTCTTTGTTCATCTTCCGCACTTTCATCCTTTCAAGTTCTCATAATTACATACAAAAATCCTACAAAATATACAAATTAAAGATTAGTCACAATATAATTTAAGTAAAACATTTTAATTAAATTAACGCACACTGTTAACCATAAACCCTAATTCAATACCACACTTTTCAAGGTTAATCACATATGATCCAATCTTTTTGGGGACTTTCACTCTGAGAAAGATTCGGTTCCCAAGTCCGAAGACCAACAGGGCTACCTATGCATTTACAAACTTAATGAAAAACCCTTTATGGCCTCAACATAGAATGTAAACTCTTCGTCGCTTGACCATTGCACACTTACATTTAATTCCAAAAGGATCCCCAAGTTTTCATTCCCAAAGTTTCCAGTCATTTCAAACAAAACAATCAATAACTGCACTTAACAATTCCAATCCTGGTCCAGATCTAAGTCATTATTCAAAACACTCAATCATATATTTCAAAACTTGCTAAAGTATCATAAATAACATATTTCATAAGTTTGAAAAAGAGTTTGGAAAATCTTGCATTATCTAGAATTGAGAAACCCTCCAATTGTAGTACATGACCTAAAACTGACAAAAATGAGACCATGTTATTTTTCAATGAAATTTCATATACATACTCAATATAACTAATTAAGAGTGAATTTAAAATTTATTTAAATAAAATCACCCAAAACTGGGTCAATCAACCCCGGAAGAAAAATTAGACATTTTATACTAAATATTGATTCGGGTATCGGATTGACCTCAAATTTTACTATGAGTCCTCCATTTGGATGTTAAGAAACTTTTGGAATCGACCAAAGGTCCATCAGACCCTTAAGCTTCTTGTACCGGTTCATCGAGGCAAAGTGTTCTTATATCGATACAAATTAGTTCATCCCAAAAGAACCCCGATGTACCGCAACAACTTGTACCAAAGTTGTATTGGTTCATCCCTTGTTTTCCACCATGAACAGACCTACAACTGATGTTTTGCCCTCTAAACAACCTCCAAACCCATTTTAAATGATAAAAATAAACTCCTAAGGTCCAATTTAGACTAGGACAATACCTATTTCACAACAAAACACCGAATTCAACAAGTTTGATTTTAAAAACCTTAAAACCCTAACTTGGGTTTTAAACTTCAAACCATCACCACTAATCAGAGCAACCTTGCAACCCACCATCAAACTTCCAATCAAACACCCAGAAATCAAACCCTAAGTTCAAATCAAACCAAAACCTCTCCTTACTGATTTAATTTACTATGATTTTTGCATTGACTATAAATTCCATCAAATATTGAAATTTAGTGTTAATTTAATAATTTCAATAAAATTATATTATTAAATCAGTAAATTATGTCAAATTTTGCACATTCAAATAGCATTACTCTATGATAAAAAGTTGATATTTAAACCAAGTCATTCCTTATTTAAGCTATATACCTTGTAATGCCTTACCAAAGCAAATGCTTCTTTTCCCCGTTCTGAATCCTTGACTGGGTGTGTCAATCAGTTTTTCAGAGCCGCGTGAAGTATTCATGCCAGTGCTCATAGACGTCGGGTCTACTGTGTATGTAATTCATGACTGCGCGTAATATAAGAGGTCCTCTCCTCTTTTTCTAGCTTTTGCTTTCTTTTCCCTCCCGTTTCCTGCTCTCTTTCTCTTTATCATTTTTCATCCCCAGATCTCTGAACTAATTTCCGATCATCAGAACCACCTTCCTTATCATCAAAATTTGCCTCTAAATTCATTGACGATTTCTCCAAATCTAGTAGCTTTTCTCTTGTCGGGTTCCACATACATAGATCTATATAGAACTGGTGGTCACCTGTTGGACCACTATCGCGAAACCTTGGCTGACTAACTTTGGGCTCATACATATCAAAAGAGGAGGAAAGAGACATAAAAGAACACATAATTTAGAGGTGAGAAGATGACTCCAGCTAATAACATGTCCGGGCAGTTTGGAGATACAACTTACACCAAAGTGTTTGTTGGTGGCTTGGCTTGGGAGACTCAGAAGGAGACCATGAAAAAGTACTTTGAGCAGTTTGGTGAGATCTTAGAGGCTGTGGTAATCACTGATAAGATCAGTGGAAGATCCAAAGGCTATGGATTTGTATGCTTCTTTTTTACTTTCTTTTTCCTGTTTTTAAATTACGTGACTTACTTCAATTTCTCTCTTTCTCTCCCCACATTTCTTTTCATTGATATCTCGGTTGTCATTCTTTTATTACATCCTAATTATCATTTGTGGATTTCACAAGATCTTGAAGGAAATTGAAAAAAAACCAATGGCGGTTTTATCAAATAAATCTTACAACTACAGTGGACACAACAATTTCATTGTCTTGTTTTCCTTTTTTTTTTTTTTCGTTTTCTTTTATTTGAATTCCTTGTTGACTATATGTGGAGAACTTAAGAGTTTGAGTCATTTCCAAATTAGGTAACTTTTCGCGAACCTGAGGCAGCCACGAGAGCTTGTTTTGATGCTGCTCCTGTAATTGATGGAAGGAGGGCAAATTGCAATCTTGCTTCTTTGGGAGTTCAAAGATCTAAGCCATCGACCCCAAAACATGGTATACTAGTTTCTCACTTTGTTTTTTTCTTCTATTCGATGATCTTATATCATATGAGACTTATCTCAATTAATTTCTCAAGTACTAAAATTTGTAAGATCATGCATAATTCCACCTCAATCTTGTATTTTTCCTGTAACTTTTTCGGTGTAATCCTATAGATTTTGCTTTCCTTGCATAAAAAGATTGAAAATGACTAAATGTTATAGAAAAATTGGTTCCATTTTGAGTAAACACATAGACATGTTCATGCAGCTTGAATATTCTCCAGATATGGGAAAGTTCTATTCCCTCTTCTTTAGTTTTAATTAATGAGTGAGTATGAATCCACCGGAGGATTGCTTTACACCCACAAATATATCGGGAGGATATGTTTTAGAAAAGCATGACAGCTCATTTCTACTGTCTGAAATCACTTTTGCTTTTGTAATATTCTCATTTCTTCCAGACTTTTCTACTACTTACTTTGTCCAAGTAATCGTACTAACAAAACTTAAAAATGTGATTACATAATTTGCAGTGAACATCTACTTCTTCATCAATTTTCTTGTTGTCTTCTCAGAAAGCAAAATCATTTTGTATGATTTTCCAAGAATTTATATATGCATAATTTATATATTATATAAATTTAGGATCATGAACATAGTTCTACTGTAACTGTCTAACTTTTTGGTGAAAATATAATGAAATGAGCAGGAGGCAGAAACTTTAGGGTAATGAGCTCTTTTCAGACAGCGCTTCAGGCAAGCGGAATGGGAACAGCTTTTCCTTCTGCAGCAGCGTTCCCTCATTATGCCATCCAACAAGGGATACCTTATAATGTTTTTGGGTATGTAATGTTTATTATGTCCAGTAATGCTATTATGTCTCTGTGCTCGTTTGGGTACCAGCACGTGCATTGCCAACTCATGCCAGCCACTCATTAATCTAGAGCTCTATTCAGGCATGCTCATCCACCACATTATCTGTTCACAAGTCTCTCTCTCTCTCTCTCTCTCTCTCTCTCTCTCTCTCTCTCTTTATATATATATATATAACTCACACACACTCACAAAAATAAACATGATATCGTCCAACGAAGAGAAATGAGAGCTAATAACAAACATCTCTCTCCCACAAACACGCATACGTGTGTGTGCACCCACATTTGAACACTTTCTAATAGTTTCTAATACCCTAAATCCTTAAAGATAACAAGCCTATGTAGCGTATGCATCCATGCATACTTCCGTGTTGTAAATGGCATAATACTCATTTATTATTTTCTCGGGTAAATCAGTTCATCTGTATTACCTGTCCAATAGACTTTAATTTCAAATTTTTTCTTCTTTCTGTTGAATGCAATTTTCAGGTACTCTTCATACTCGCCAGATTATAATTATCCCGCGGTGCGTACGAAATCTCTTCCTTTGTGCTTGCCTCAATATTACATATTATATCCCAATACCATTAGTGTATTTACATTCCCAAAAAACAAGCAATAACAGACTTTGGCTGCCGATTCTTTTCCGAGAACATCAAAATAACCCCTCAAAATTATTGTCAAAAAATGTCATTCCATTAATATATTTTCAAAAAAGAGTGTGCAGTAAGAATGTATATTATCACTCCATAATATTACATAATACAGAATCGACAGCTAACAAAAAATTGGAAAAAAACGAGATTGGCATACAATTTTCTAAAACAAATATGTGAAATTTGATATTTGGACCAAATTTAAGGAATTAATGTAGGAGCCTAATTAACTGTAGTAGTTGGATTGAAAGTAAACTTTATTTAATATTAGAACTAATAATTAATACTATTATTACATTGGATTGAGTCTTTAATTAGGTCTATAGCATTCCTCAAAATATGCTATTAAGGTCTAACTTAGAAAATTAATGAGTTGCGAAATAAGTAGTGAATTGATGGGACTCATGGTTAATCTGTTGATAGCAACACATTAAGTTTCTATTTGGCATATTTTTAGATTGTGGGTGTGCCAAAGTTTGGTTGAACTTAAGACCCAAATACATACGACCTTGTATATTCGAACCGGTATGAATTTCTAAAATCGTGACTGTTCAGACGATTGTAACAAGGCATAAAGCTATCTCTGAGTTTTTTTCTATGCCTTCAAATTGAAGGACTTTAAATAGTTTCCCAACTAGCAACGTAATGAACTAAAATATAGATATAAAGTTGTAATGTAAAGTAACAAATAAGATAAACTTGGAAGACGTAAAAAGTACTGTACTTAACATTAACTAAAGCGGTAAAGATCATCGAAGTGACGAATTATAAGAAAAATTAAAGGCAAGTAAGTAGGAGAAAGGCTAACTCTATGTAGAGTTTGTTATATTTGATTGATGATCCTTCATTTATAGCATTACCCATGTTATTTATAAGGATGACCTTCCACCATCAGAGCAATCTTTTAGCCATGGCTGTAATTATAGCATTTTGCCTCAAGATGTGCAAACGTGCACTGAACCATATTTAACTAACGGCTCATGATGTCACATTTTTCTGCTTCTTGGGATTTTTAGAGTCTCACTTCCTTAACCATCATGTCAAGTATAGACTCTCACAGACACTTTCATGACCTTCGGATTGTCTCCACATGTCACCCTCGAATTTTGCTTTTTTTGGGTGTAAACATTGCCCCCCCCCCCAAAAAAATGATGCAACTAAACACTTCATATTCGGAACGTTGTTTTGGCTCTTTGAATTTAAATTTTTTCTACTATATTCACCCTACTTAGCTATCACTCCATTGTTGGCCATGAAGCTCAGAATGTGCAGCCAAATCTCCATGTGTAGGCTTTTAGTCATTCTTTTGTCTTTTCAAATCTACAAGAAACGACTGGCATGCAATTTGTCCATATATTTTCATCATTGTAACAATTCATTCTTCGCGCCTTTATAATCCATCCTCATATTTGCAATTTTGTCATTATTCTAACTTTCTCTTCTTCTTATTCAATGGAGCCCCCTTATACCATCACCGTTGAAGCGGCTCTTTCACGCATACCAAACACTCATATTACTTTTCATACTTTTAATGCTCTCTCTGAGTATTCTTTGGCAGAGTTGGCCCTTGGGCTTGCTTTCAAAGAGATCCCTCTAGACAAACTTCAACGTATCTACCCCAACTCTCATGTGTCTCTCCCTTTTAAGTTCCAAGAACCTTTTCGTTGGATGAACTGGCTCGGTCGCAATCCCTTCGTGCATGGAAGGTCCATTCTTTTGATTAGATATCATGGGTTGCTTGTGTTAATTCGACAAAAGGTACTCTATGATGCTATAGAACTTATCATTATCGCGATACCTATCAACAAATCGCTACTCAATGTCATTCTTTTATTTTGGTCTATAGTGAACAATGCCTTTTACTTTTGTTTTGGCATGATGGGTCCTACGGTCTACGATAGATCCACATTCCTCGACCTTCCTCCTTTTGGGGCTAAGGCTAACTCTCCACTTACTTATACTGAAGCAAGCTATAATTTTTCAACTATTGTGCAAGGTAAGCCGGTTTCTGCTTATTCCCTATTTATTGCAACTTGTCACGACTATGATGGCTTTTCAGTATCAAATAGGGAACACATCTCGTTCCTACTTTATTGGCTTAATCAATTCTTCTTCTACATATCGTCATACAAAGTTACTAAGGAGAACATTTCGATGGCCGTCAATCTAGTCACGGGAGCTTCCTATGCCCTTGCGCCTATAATGCTCGAGCACCTTTATCGTGGGATATGTGACATTATGGCAGCGAGGATGAGTAAAGGCTCAGGTCCCTTCTAGGTGCTTTAATTGTGGCTTTGCACTTATTTTCTAAAGCTCTACATCCTGCCTCTAAACAATGCCTATTTTTTTACTACCACTTATTTGCCACAGCCCCTTCTATGGGATAATCCTTTGTGGACTGCTTTTCCTATTTGTACAAGCTTGAATGGCTCACGACCTATTTGGATGTCGTTTTTAAGAACCAATGATTGGAATGGTTCATTTATAAACCTAGGGACACTTCAATTGATGCTGCCTCTACTTAGGAGGATGGGTTGTTCTCCTATCTATGCCTCCGAGATTAGCATTATAGCCTAGGGCCAACTTATGGTGCCAACGCTCATTGTGGCGTCGAGGTTTACATGCCTAAATAGTTTGCCCATCAATTTGGCTTGGTGTAATAGAATCCTTAACCTTTTTCCCGCATTCTTAATATTGACCTTACCAATTGGCCAATATTAATGTTCGGAAGGTCACCCGTCGTAACCCTCTTGCCCTCTACTCCATCCACATGAATTCTTTTGTCGAGACATTTTGATGTCTTGAATGTTTTCAAAGCTTTGGGGAAGCGTTATGTCTCTCGGTAATTTGAAAATGACACAACGTCTATTATTAGTCATATAGGCTTCCCATCACGTGTTCAATTGTCTTTCTCTGTCTTCGTTCAACCTCAGGCTATTGACCTTGATCCTGTGGATTTCATGGATTTGGCTTCTTGAACCATTGCCTCTTATCCACACAAGTCTCACCATAAAAACAAATGAAGATGCTCTTCCACTGTTCCTCTTGCACTCACACTGCATTCTCAAGTTGATGAGAGACAAGACATTGAATATGATGGCCCTATTGTCTACTGTGTTTGCCAACGCGATGGAACTTCTTTGTTTGTGTCCATCTCCGCCAGTGCATAACCTTCACAATAGGTGATTTTTGATAGCCTGATCCCCTTTGGCCAACTAATGTACCTATCTTTGTGGCCTTTTCTATGTCCACAACTAAATTGATTCCATCATCACCCTCTTTCGATGATATGACCACTGATGCGGCTAACGATGTCAAAATTGTAGATCTCGAAGCAAATGTCCAACCGTAGGCAAGAACCTTTAGATCCCCCAACAAACCTTGGTACTCATTTGGCTGCTTAAACTAACCAAGCCACGACCCTAACTCGGGTCGTTGTTCTATCCTCCAATGTTGTGCCTACATCAGACACCAACTTGTCTTTTGTTCTGGGTTCTCTAAAAGCCCACCTCTCCTTTGGTCTTGTTCATTTCTGGAGTTCAAAGTTAATTTTGAATCGTGACTTTGAGAGCTATAACAAAATGACGTTGTTAGTCATTGCTGGCCACCCCACCATTTTAGTGAATAGCAGCTCCAATTAATCAGGATGTTGGTTGTTTAATAAAGATTGCCAAGCACTAATATGTCTGCTTGATGAACTTCTAGCCCTTCTTTAGGAAACTGGGTTATTGTACCAGAAACATCAAGATTGCCTGACCTCGTTCATGATCAACAAGAATGGCTGGTCAACTTACAACAACACATCCAAAACCTACTCCGATCATTTTAGTTGTTTCAAGTCACTTCCTTAATAGTTGGCAAAAAATAGACCTCTAAATTGCTGAATTAGAAGCTCGGTGTACGGCACTATTGAAGGAGTCTGTGTCCTATTGAGAGCATTTGGAAGAAATAAAGATCGCCACAAAAGTTACTATAGCCTATGTGAACAATGGCTCGACCGCTACCAAGTCTGCTTCAGCAGAACTCCTTGCCGTTAATAAGTTATTGTACCAACTAGCAATTAACTTTTCTAATCTTGTATAGTTTCATGAGAAATAAAATATAAATAAAGGTGTACCATTTTGCCCCTTACTTTTTTACTTATATTTGTCTTTTCATTTCCCACATGACGGTTGACATTACTGTGACTTAACCAATATTTATTGCCTTTTAAATGACTTCACTATTGTTTCATTCTTGTGCATGCATTCAGGTACTTCGACTGCCTTAAAAATGACCATTTATTCTCCTCTCATTAAACTATCATAAATATTGATGATTTCCAAGGAGAGGCCATTAATATATTTGAATTCATCATGGCCTATAAATAACCATGAAGTATTGAGCAATTCAGAGCACACCAAAACTTTTCCAAGTCTTTTTCCCTTCTTATGCAACAACCTTTTTCCATTACATTAACAGTTAGTTGTATTTTTGTTTTAATTTTTAAGACTTCAAACTGTCTTCCCCAATTGACAGACCAATTGTTGAACCTTTGGTCCTTAAGACTTAAAGGAAACCTTGCCTTCTAAACTAAGTCACCTACTCTAAATGCCTTGTTTTTGTCTCTTCTATTGTATGTCTTGGCAGTACTTAGCTTTTGCACCTTAATGCAATCTAACATGCCCAGTTGCACTTCATTTCAGTCTTCAAAGCTGTATCATCATGGATTCATTGTATTCAGCTAGGCTTAGATTATGCTAAAAAGTCACTCGCAACGACTTCATGGTGATCTCCATAGGCAAGACTGCATCATGCTCTTAGGCCAACTTGAATGGTGTAATTCTGATGCTAGACTGTTTGGATGTTCTATAAGCCCATAGTGCTTCTA